CTCTGTTAGTGAAGGGCAGGGGTGTGTTTATGAAGGGACGTCCCGCAGGATACTCAGCGTAAGAGGGCAGAGACGCGCTGTCAGACATCGGCCGGCCTCTGAGGACACCCTCCTGCTGACACACACACACACACACACACACTACAAACATCAACATCTCATTTCATTTTACTAAACGTATGCAGTTGAAATATTGTAAATTAAATTGCAAAAAATTAGTACTTGCTTGAATAAAAAGCATGAGAGCAAATTATGAAAAACAGAGTTAGATTTGAAATAAATAATATGCCATGTGTCAGTCGTGGGAACTCTGATGTAATATATATATATAGTTTATTATATATGATATATATTGTTATTTTTTAAGATTATTGGCTTATTTAACTGTTACTTCTTAATTATTATAACAAAGTTTTACATTCACAAGACAAGATTAATGCCCCCGCCCCCCCAAAAAAACTTCATATATAAACAATGATCTTTAGATGCATTTTAAACTTTAATGTTTTATTTAAGTTTTTTTTTTTTTACAAAATTTATGGAAAAAAATCTAAAGCTTTCAAATTAATGTAACTGCCCAAAAATCTTGTTTGTATTTTTCCCTAAACTGCTGAACAATGTTCTGTTATTACTCTGTATTGAACTAAACAGTTCAGAAAGTATGTGATAGGTTTGTATGTTTTGTTTTAAAGAAACGAGTTTTAAATCCCAAAATCAGCATTAAAACCGCAGAAGTGATCAAAAACAGCCAAAGCTTTACTATAATATTACTAGTTTGATTTTAATGCACATCATTTCAAACGCATTGCGGCTAAATGAAACATTACTCAAAGCATTATGATGTTTAATTAAACATTTCGCGTTGTTTGATGATCTGTTTGTGAATGCTGAAGATGTTTTACCTTCTCTCGTCCCGCGGAGGGGTTTGAGCTCGCGTCCATTCAGATGCAGCTTTAATCTTAGATCATATTTAATTAAAGTAAACTCACTTTTTATGACCTTTGGCTCTGTTCGCTGTGAATTTGTTGCTTGCTGCAAAACAGGAAACAAAACACAAGCGCGCAAAGCAGCGGCGGTGAAGCCAGCGATGACAACATCCGGTCTGTAGAATCCTAAATAAAAGTCACGAGTCGTGAACTATAATATTTTAAAGTTATGCACAATATTTATGTTATTGAGCTAACAGAGTTATAATCGTGTAAAGATTTTGAGTTTAAGATTTTATTAGTTAATTTGAAAAAAAAAACAAACACCTGCTTAAGAATTAGTAGTAAACTGTTCATACGATCTATTTCACAGTGTGTGTGTGTGTGTACTGTGTATATTTATTATGTATATATAAATACACACACATACATTTATATATATTAAAAATATTTACATGTATATATTTATATTCATTTATTATTTATATTATATATAAATATTTTATATATAAGCAAAGCATATTTTTCAAATAACTTTTATTTTGGATGCAATTAATCGTGATTAATCGTTTGACAGCACTACATTTTAAATTCTATCTGTCTTTTTTTTTTCAATAAATAATTAAAAGAAAAATCTCAGTTGTTGCATATGACTCTGTTTTATTTCAAACATGGATTATGAATAATTCAGCATTTTCAAGCTCTTCATTGAACACTGAGGAATGTCCTGTTTTGTATGTTTTCAAACTTTT